TATGTGTGTGTGGGTGTGTGTGTGTGTATAAATATATATATATATATATGTATGTATGTATATATATATGTGTGTGTGTGTATGTGAGTGAGTGTGAGTTCATAGATATACTTAAATACTATATATATATATATATAAATATATGTAAATATATTATCGTTATGACCCCAAGTAGTCCGCGTGCACAAGAATAGAGAAAGGTGTGTAAGTACGTGTAATCAACACTTCTGGATGTGTAGATACATTTATCTACTTATCTGTGCTGCAGCATGTGCATACTCTATAGTCGATCTGTCTATATACCTAGTTATAATAGCTTTGAGCATACATCCTTGTATAAATATCTCTTTTTTTAGACTACAGGATATGCCTACATTATCTTACGCCTATTTCTCGCTGGCCAAACTTTCATCATCTGCTGAACATGTCTAGCCAACTCTGATTGCATAAATATCGCTCACAACCCGACCGTATTGGTATAGATTGCCTCTACATCTGCACATAATGACAATCGCAGATTTTAATCACCCTCAATATACAACGTTTCCAGAGTGCTATGGGGGGTGCGGAGAAAGCGAAAGAAAAATTCGTGCAAGGAGCCGAGAAAGTGAAGCACACCGCGGCCAAAGTAACTCACACGGTAGTCAACAAAGCCACACCCGGGCCCAGCAAGGACAAAGATAAGGTCAAGCAATCCCACGGCAGGCACGGCACACCCGGCAGCGTTGGTGCAGGCCTGTACGATGTCCAAAACACACACGCGACCAAGTCTGGGGCGGGTGTGGTCCACGCCGAATTAGGCCGAGACACGGATGTGATCCACACGGATCTGCGATCCAAGCCCAACAGTGGGGTGGTGAAGGGCGCCATGGCTGCTGACGACCCGAAACAGGACTCCATTTTCGCGGGGTTGACACGCGCGGAGAAGGCCATAGCGGCGCTGTCTCCCCGAGGTTCGGGATCGGGCGCCGACCCACACGCTTTCAAACAAGAAAAGGGACACGGGCATGGACATGCGGCTAGCTCGCCCAGAGGGTCTGGGGTGAAGAGCGTGGAGCAGGTGGTCGGGTGGTGCTCGTGGTGCTACAAACGCGTGCCGCAGGACATGGTGTCCCGCAATTACCTGTCGAGAAACGTGTACAAATGCACCATCTGCCACAACCGCACTCTGGCGTGCAGGTAGCATGCCGTAGTCTATACGTTTGAATCGTCTGTTTGTGGATATGCAGTGGTGACATGTTCTATTGTTCGAGTTATCTATATTTTCCTGCAAAACTGATAATGGACCTAGAATTGCTGTTGAATTGGGGAGCGATTCAGATCTGTATGAAGCGTGTATAATTTCTTCGTGCCAGTACGATCACGAGTGAAATATGTCACCAGGGACCGAACAATATGGGGAAGGAACTGTAATTCGTAAATCGTCTGCAGATTATTCAGTTTATGTATGTCTTTCAAATATATTTTTTCTATCAAGCCTATCTAGATACGCAAGCGTGTGTATGCTTATAATATGAAAGTTCATTTATATTTTTTGCGTATATATATATATATATATATTGAGTACATATTAAGTATATATATAAATATATATATATATATATATTTATTTGAATGGATATATTTATATATGTATGTTAGTATTTATGTATGTATTTATGTATGTATACATACATATATATATATATATATATAAATATATATATATATATATATAATTTTGTGTGCATTTGTGTGTGTGCATTTATATATATATACTTCATTTATACTCGCACTCCTCTTTTTTTTTTTCCGTGTCCACTTACTTTTCGCCCATGCCGACCCACGCACTACTTTACACAGAGTCAGTACAGTCACAGGCTGCAAAGGCTTCTCTCGAGGACACGATAGCTGGGATGATGAGTTGTGTTCTGTGTGCGAAAAGCGTATACCGGGCTGGGGCCACCCTGAACCAACCCCGCCACACGGCTACTGCTCGTGGTGTTATAGGGACACGATACATACGCACATACAGTCCAATCTTATCAGGAGAGACAAGTAAGTACATTTGTTTGGGCTGGTCAGTGAGTCAGATACACACGGACATACAGTCCAATCATACTTTGAGGGACAGGTGTTTATGTGGCTGAATGTACCTATTTTGTTGCATAGGTGTGCGTGTATATTTACGTAAACCCGTTCAACCACACGGCTACTGCTCGTGGTGCGACACACACGGTACACACACTTTTATATATATATATATACAGTTCTATTCTATTCTGAGATAAAAGTTTGCTCTGTTTTTGCTTATGTCTTCTTGACGGCAGACTGCTTGTCTTCTTGACAGCAGACTGTCTTCGACTTAAGATCCAAACCGTTTCACTGCCTGTAGCTAGCACCGAACCTGTCCTTGTACTATCAACCCGAATAGACGCACATGAATGGTCCCTCTTTTGCGTGTTTATGCCATTCATCCGAAAAACCCCTCGACGTGAAGTCACCACTAAACACGTGGGTGGTCCGTTGTCGTCACCGCTGAACACGTGGGTGGTTCATTGTTCCATTGTCCTATCTATCCAGGTCAGAGTGCTCGCATTGTGGCAACCGTACTGTGCCCTGTATGGTGCTGGGGGGCTGTGCGAACTTTGCACGCGCCAACACCCAGGTAGGTATCGCACACTGGTTGTCGTAGTACGGCCTACCGCTAGATGAGTGATAGTGTATTGCTTTCTAGCGTTTATCGGAGCACTATTTATTATTGTCGATTGCTCGGCCTTTTGGGGGCCTACAAAGTTGAGCCAGCGACTTTCCGAGCCATGCCGTCATTTCCATTGGTACGCCTGCTCTAGACACTGGACGGTCCATATCAGGAGGTGTTAGATTGCAAGCGATAAGACTGATTGGTGTGCGTGTATGGGCTGAGACTGCGCATGTCTTTGGTCGGCCTGTCTTTCCAGTTGTGTTCGGTCTGTTCGGGCTTTCTTGTTACGTTTGTTGTGTTCGGGAGATCTCGGTGTTATGAGAGTCACTGTTTCTCTTGACCCGCGAAATACCACACTTTTTATATCCCTAAGTTATAATCAAATGAAAAGGGCTGGTTACCAACGCGTTAAGCGTACACCGTCAATGGTGTACACATACAAGGCACATGCGTCTGTACATAGCCTACTTCACGCCGCGTCAACGTTAAACGTTTCAATTTTTATATTATTTAGAGACCAGACTCCCACTGTGCGTGTGTATCACCGGGACAATATCATTGCGTTTAACGTGTATATTATATGTTTAGGTTCCGGATACCCACTGCGCGTACCACCAGGACAAGATAGCCGACTGGGAAGATCTTGAGAGAAATATATCACACGCTAAAGCAAGGGGCGAAGTGTACCTTACCAAACACAATCGTTACGAATCATACGCCCAGCCACGCACAGGTGTGTGCTTGAGTCTGTATGCATGCATATGCATGACAGTGTGGATCTGCATATGTGCCAATGTATATCTATATATATGTCAATGTGTGTCCACATATATGCCAATGTATATCTACGTATATACCGATGTGGGTCTGTGCTCTGATCTGTATATATATACACGACCATGTCAATTTGTATCTATATACATATATCAATGTGTTCGTTTGTACTCGGATGTATGTTGACGTGGTATGTACGTACCTCTACCTACGCCTGCACGTATACATACAAACCTTGCAAACTAGCCACATTGTATCAGACCTCGAAGAGTCTGATGCTATGAGTCGGGTATTTTATTGTACACAGCATGTACTGTGTACTCACCCACACCATCCCACACAGCCGTGTGCGCCTACACCTGCACAAGCACGAGCAGAAAAAGTAATGCCAGCAACCTGCGCGTGTGAGACGCACGTGGCTCAGTTCATTACTCGAGGAATAGTTGCCCTCGGGTGTGATGACCTGAGCTCCTTGTACAGCCAACCACTCTACCCACGAGACCTCACTCCCCGTAAATCCTAAACCCTAAACCCTCTAAAACGAGACCTCACTCCCCAAGTTACCTGAACTTCTATCTCAAAACGGCCACCATTCCAATGTTCCTATGTAAACGTATAAGAATGTAGCCGACAAGACACGCCTCTCCTACACGCTCGTAGGGGGTTTTAGCTCGATGCATGTTGCATATACTCAGTCGAGTTGTGCGCTATAGTCCACCGCATCACGTTCCAGAGAAGTTACAGTCTGGCGCTTATTTGGTCTTATTGTGCAATATGGGGCGTTTTGTGTGCGTGTGTGTGTGGTATTGCTATAGGTTGTTCTGCGGAGGCTCTGGTGGACGGCAAAGACTTCCTGTGGTCCGTTTCCGAAGCCATTGAGAACGCGCAGAGCACCATCCTCATGTCATTCTGGCAAATGCACCCCTACGTGCACATGCGACGAGACGCGGCAGACTCCACTCTGGATAAACACGACTATTACAGGTACAAGGGCGATGAATATGCGTGCGTGTGTTTATATATATACATCCATACATGAATCGTGGTTATATGGATATGTGTGTGTGTATTGGCGCGTGTGGAAACAACAAGTTTTCTGTGTTGGGCGAATGTATTCCTACGTGCACGTCCGAAGGGCGCCCTCGATTCAACTCTGACAAAGCACAACTATTACAGGTACAAGGGCGAAATATATACACTTCTTTACACTTCTGCTTTTATATACTATTATATTGCTATAATATTATATCATTATAATAATATATTATTATTCTTATATTTATATTATTCTATTGTGTCATTATATCGTTATATTACTATTTTATCGTATTATATGACGTGAGATATATATATATATATGAGTGTGTATGTGTTTGTTTGTATCTTTGTATTTGTGTGTAAGTATGTTTGTATCTTTGTGTCTTTGTATGTATATATATATATATATATATATATATATATATATATATATATATATATATATATATATACTACTACTACTACTTACTTACTTACCTTACTTAACTACTAC